CTTTAAACCGAGTCTATTTGATTAAATTCTATATTATTTCACTTCTTCTGTTACACCTTACCTTAGACGCAAGTATGCATAACGCGTAAAGCGCATTCTAAAGTTACAATTAATGGAAATAGGTGAAACACCCTACCACCTGGCCTTTGGTACCGAAGCAGTCATTCCTGTTGAGATAGGAGTCCCAAGCTTCAGGGTCACCCATTTCGATGAAGAACGAAATGGACAACTGCTTCGGGAAAACCTTGATCTGCTTGCTGAGGTCAGAGAAGAAGCTCGGCTTCGAACTCTTGTATACAAGCAGAAACTAGCCAACTTCTACAACAGACGAGTCCGCCCTCGAACATTCAAAGTAGGAGACCTTGTTCTCAGAAAAGCTGGCTTAACGGGGTTCGAAACTCGTTTTGGCAAACTTGCCCCAAATTGGGAAGGCCCCTATGCCGTGGCCGAGGTACCACATCCTGGTGCTTATATTCTCCAAGACGCTGAAGGAAAGAGAGTTCCTAGAGTCTGGAATGTCAATAACTTGAAGAAGTTTTATCCCTAATAAAATTCTGTCAAGTGTTTTAAGTCTTACTGTTCTTTACGTTTCTCACTTCGTGTTTATTGAGAATCATTTTACCTCTTATTTTATGTATCTGAGGTCAATCAGTTCATTCACTTCTATTAATAAATGTCACTTGACATTTGAAGTGCTTTGTTCCCTTCTAATTTTTTCTTCTTTCATCTGAAGTGAATTACTTTAGTTAATCCCTCAAGGGGCTTACTTCTTCTTTCATCCGAAGTGAATTACTTTGGTTAATCCCTCAAGGGGATTACTTCTTCTTTCATCTGAAGTGAACTACTTCTTCTCATTTCGTCTCAAGTACTCAGTTCTTTCATTCATAAAACGTAACAACAAATATAAACCAAACATTAAGGAAAACATAATTCAATTTCATTTAACAAAAATATTATTACTACAAACTATTTAACTGTTCTACAACAAAGTACAAACAATAAAATAAAGTTAATCCTCTGCTGGAGGAGGTGGCTCCACTGGCTCCTCTTCAGCTGGAAGAGGTGGCTGCTGCTCGCCTAACAGGGGAGGCTGATCATCATCAGAAGGAACTGGGTGGATCTCCACTTCTGGCACTGGTTGGCTCTCATCCACTGCAACTCCTTCCACTCCTGCCTCCACCTCATCTTCCTCTACCTCTGCCCCTTCTTCTCCTACTGCCACGAACTCGAAATCGAAGTTCGGAGGAAAGACAGCGCGTCCATCAGCATCATGATCCCACCTCAGTTTGATTTCTGGGCGGAAGTCTGCTGACAAGCTTTCACCATCTTCCTCCACTCCAGCCTCTTGCTCTCCAAAGGTTATCCTCGTCACATCCACTTCGGGATAGACAGTCTTCACCTTCTTTCTGCAGTCTGTGAAGGCAATGATGGCCGTTGGCAGTCGGTAGAGGTTGACGATGTTGTCAAACGAGCTGGAGCTGATGAAGTTGCTGATGTGCTCCTTCATCCCATTGTGCACCAGGTTCTGCACATTCCCCTTCAGCTCCAAGAAGGCCTCCTTTTTTAACTTCAGCTCTTGCGTCAGAGCCTCACGCTCGCTTTCAGAGATCTTGCGCTTGGTCTCTTCAAAGCCGAGCTTGGTGCCCAGGGAAGCCTTCTCCTGTTCCAATTGCTTCACAGTTGGAACCATCTCGTCCAGTGACGCTTGCAGCTCCTTATTCTTCCCCTCCAGCTCTTCCTTCTCCTTTTGCAGCTGGTCACACTGCCGCTGCAAGCGTGCACGCTCCTTTGTGCTCTCTTTAAACTCCTGGGCTAGTCCATAGACCTAGCTCGCATTCTGCAAATCAAAACATAAGCTCACAGAACCAAAACAGAAGAAGAAGTGGAATAAGTAAACAATAACATTAATTTAACATACCTCAAGGGCGTGCTTGACCACAGAAGCTCCTCCGTGCCTCAGAACCTCCTCTCGTGCATGGCGTTTGTCCACTTCGGGGAAGGTGTTGTTGATGAACCACCTAGCCCCAAATATATTCTTCGCCTCGAACAGGCTGCTCTGAGACACCGCTGAGGTAACAGGGCCCTTCCCCTTACCAGGAGCCCGTACCTCAGCCCCCTCCTCCAACTGTCTGAGCTCGGGGTCCAGCTCAACAGGAGGAGGCTGAGGTACAAACTCCGGCACCTCATTCCTCTCCACCTCCTCCACCTCTTCCACCACCTTCTTCTTCTTCTCCAATGCCCTCCTTTCCTCCCAACCTTTCCTCTTCAGTGGTAGCACATCCTCTCCCGTTTCAGTTGAAACAGCAGCTACCACCTCCTTCCCACTTATCCCCTCATCCACTTGTCTGGTTGAAGTCCTTGACTTCTTCCTTGGCTTCTTGGGGATCGCCTTTCCTCCAGCTGTGCCCAGGAGTTGATTCATGTCAGCTGCACAGCAAAAAACACAATATTAGTAACATTTCTATGTTCTACATCTAGCATTACAGTGTATGTAAAACAAACCTTCGCTCAGAGCACTGGGCCCATAGAGCTCAGCAGCCTCTATGCATGCTGCGCTGGTGAGGTCCATGATGTTCAACACATCCCCCCTCTTCCTCACCAACTTCCTCACCTCTTCCTCCTCATCTCCATTCAAACTAAACTTATTTTGGTTGGCCCTTTTAGCCTTCCAGGAAGCTAATGCCCTCACCTCGGCATCCCCTTTCCCCCACTCCGTATCATCAATAAAAAAGAATTTTTCCTTCCATCCTTTGATGGAGGAAGGACCCGCAGTAAACAAAATCCTACTTTCTTTCTTATCTACCCTAGGGGTGAAGTAATACCACCCCTTATCCCTCCTACTACTACCCTTTAAAACAAAAAAATACTTAAACATATTTACAGTTGGCACACTGATTCCCTGAGCTCGGCAATAAACTAAAAAACCTATTATTACCCTCATTGCGTTGGGAACCAACTGTGTCAACCCTATGTTGTAATCTAACAACAACCCTATCAGCAACTCAGGGAGTGGAAACTTGAATCCCGCTAGCAAGTACTGGGAATACACTGGCATCCAGTGATCCCGAGGAGCAGAACATGCCCTCTCCTCTACCCCGGCTGGCCTAACTAACACCCGGGAAG